CTAAGAGGCATGAGAAAGAAGACAGCAAGAAAATATTATGTTTATCGCAAAACAGGAGCCAAGACCATGTCCAGTGAACAACGCTCTTCAGCACCCAGCTGGAACCATTTGTGTAAGGTAAGCCTATTTCTCTCTGCCAAATAACAGTGAAACCCACTGGCAAAATTCACAGTCTTTCCACTAGTGGAGACTGACGCAGAGCTAAGAGAGCTTACCATTCCTACAAACTACTGTCCTATCTCATTCTGCAGGAGGTGGTGGTTCTAGAGCTTGCAGTTTGCTTATGTATCCTGGGGTTGTTAATCAGTGTTATAGAAATTCTGCTTTGCCCTATACTTTAAAACAAAAATGGAAGTAATTACACAAGGCAAATGTCACAAGAAAATAAAGTCAAAAATTAAAAAACTAGGAAATGTAAGGATTAAAATTTTTGTCCCCTTGTTTGTATGTATGAGATGCTTTTTAATTGACAATCATACTATTTTTTTTCAGTAGACCCTTTTCATTAAATGTAGAAAGTTGATCTGTTGGGTCTCTAGTAGTCCACACTGAATTTACCGTCTCAAAGTGCTGAGTGTACCTTCACACAAGTGGTTGACTTTATGACAATAGTTCAGAAATGCGTAAAGTTTCTGCTTCAGCTATTCCAATATGAAAATTCTTTGGAAAAAGTCACTAAATTTTGAGGTTTTGCTCTGATTGGGAATTTCAAAAAGAGTACAAAGTTTGTACTGGAAAAAGGATAATGAGAAATTCTTCCAGCCCTTCAAGACACAGAGCCTTCACTTCTGTATTTCAGCTTCACTTCCAATCACAAACCACCACCACCAAGTGTGACTCAGGTCCTTTTACAGTGACAAAAGCACCATCATTCTCATCTATGAAGGGGTGGTACAGGGCCAAAAAGATTATTAGTTTCAATGTTTCACACCAAGGAAGCAGCAGATAAAAATACAAGCTGCCCAACTAGATTTTTAATTGTGCAGGGCTGAAAACATCATTACCGCTACATTTCCCTGATTCCCTGACTGTACAGTGGCAACCCCACTTACTCTTACTCTGGCAGTGGGGCAGCAGAACTGTTCTGAGCAGGCTTGAAAATTCAGGAATGATTGTTGGGACCAAATAGCCTGATTTGTCACAAGCTTTTGTCACAAGGAATGTACTATGATGAATGTAGAGAGGTCTCTTTAGAAATTTACTGTAAATAAGGTACCAGTCTTAGTAGGAAGAAAGAGAACAAAAGAAGACAGAAAAAATGAACTTAAGACATGAGTACATTCTAAAGATCAGAATCTTTGCATCAGTAGGTCAATATGCCCTTCAATATAATTGAGCTTATCATTGACAGTTCCCTCAACCTATTCTGTTGTCACAGAGATCTGGTTCACTCAATATCTGCATAGGACGTGTTACCCTATTTAGCAGAGTATTTGCAGTTACCCAATGTAACCGAAACAGCACAAGGTAAAAAATGCAGAGGCAACTGAATTGCATTCTGTGATTAAGTACAGGTAAATATCAATTTCTTTAAATGTACACATTCACTACACTAGTCAGGTTCCTACACATGGGAAAGTGAACTTGTCAGATATTTTAACAGGGCAAACTAAACTTCTAGATATAACAGCAGCTGCCACAATCACATTGTACTGAAGAGCAGTCACAGTAAAAAAAGGAAACAGCTTTTGCTGATGTCTGAGCCTTTGATAAAATAAGTCCATCTGAGAAAACACATGAACTGAATGGCATGTTCTCTATCTGCTCTGATTCTCACAGCTCAAATGAAAAAAAAAATGGCCAACAGTATCACAACAACAAAATGTAACACCAGGTGATGGGCTGTAGCAGACTCATAATTTCTAAGATCTTTCTTAGATAAAAAAATGTATTTTATAAAAAAAAGAGAGTATTTAATGAAATTAAACATATTCAGAAGTTGTAATCATGAAGATCATGATCCAATAAAATAATTATGTCTATAATATCTAAAATGTGGATTTTTTCTTAGTCTCTTCTGGTAATTTTTTATTAAAAGAAGCCCCATACATAAATGAAATATTTTGTATTTCAAAAATGTGATGTGTTCTTACAAACTGGTTTGAAATTTTCAGATGACGTGTACACATCTGGCTGGGAGCCTGGAAGACTTTGTCTGAGACACCTTGAGGGTGATGAATGCATGTGGATTCCCAGGCAGGACTCCAGCACCACTCCTGTGTGTAATCCTGGCACAGTTCAGTGCTCTGTACCTCTTTTAAGAAAGTCACCTCTTGCAGGGCTGCTAGAAATTTAAGGGTATCTATTTTTTTCAATAGCACTGATGGTGAATTCTTCTTTGGGGTCACAGTCCCTCAGAAATTTGGGTAGTCTGCAGCAATGTAGCTCACAGGCCTGCCTCTGCTAGAACAGGAAACCAGTGGTTTCCAGGCTAACCCCAAGTCCTGGGGTGACCTTTCTGGCAGGTGACTGCAGTGTTATTTTATACCCCCTGAGAATATTTTGTATTCTCAGGCTTTAGGATTTGTGCTCTAGAGTCAGGTTGGCAGCAGATGGTTTGGTGCTACTCCAGGCACCCTGTGCTGGAGCAGGGTATCCGAGCTCCAGGAGCCCTGGATGGAACAGGGATCAGGCTGCAAGCAGGACTGCCAGAGCATCCCCAGCTTCCCTTGGCTGAAATGCAAGCTCAGAGTCAGGCAGGTTTGGGGCCAGGCTGATTGACTCTGACACTGGGTCACACTGTGCTGCATGTCTGTCCTAGGAAGCTGCTGCCTGCTCCTGACACTGATGTCTTGGTCACTTCCACTGCACAATGCAAGGTCCAGAAGAATGTGGCTCCCAGGACAGGTGGTACGCAGACACACACATGCATGTGTGTAGATGTGAAACACATCACAAGCTCCTATTAATGAGATTCCTGCAGAAAATTATTAACTTGAATAGGAAGGTTAAGTTAAAACCAAGTTTCTAAAAAATAATAACCTCCTTTCAGATCATGCTAGGGAATACCAATTTTAAAAGAACACAGTTTAGAATTGCCACTGTAGAGAAGTGTACTCTGATGCACAGAACTAGCACAGAAAAGCAGCCTTGCTTCACCCCGAAAGAATGAATTAGAGGAAGAAAGAAGAACGACTCAGCTTGGAATGAGATTTCTTAAAAGGAATGGGCAGAACGTCAACAAGTACACTAGAATATAGAATATATACTAGCCATACAAAAGTGTCTGGTGCTGAATATTCACTAGGTCCCTTGACAGGAAATGTGGAAAGGACTGGTATTCCTATGTTTGTTTGTTTTTAATGCTTCTAGTTACAGATTTTTCCTATTCAAATTTTCATACTTTACATTTTATACTGCTTTAATTAAATTACTTACTTTTAATTTTGTTAACCTTTGGTCTCAACTATTTCCATTAGCATAATTATACCACTTATTATACTTTGAAACTGCACCTCATTTCTAGTTATCATTTGTATTTTAAAGTAAAGGAGCCTCAACATTTTAACATCTCTCAGTCATTCTTTCTGTAGTCCTATCATAATTCTTGTATAATTCAGAATTGATTTCTGTATATATTTTGGAATTGAGAAACAAATTTTCAGATAACAACTTGCCAAACTATTCTTACAAATTTATTTAATTTAGATTTACAGTTTTTCCGTGGAAACACTTTGATTATCATTAAATAATGTTTTTCTGAATAGGGGATTTCAAGTGTTACACATTCTTCCTCTCCATCTCTCCTAGGTTATCACTGCAGAATGTCTTACAACATCAATGAAAGACAGTACAGGGTACAAAACACACCACTGCCATCCAGTACTACTTGTTCATGCTGAGAAACAAAGGCCAACACAATAAAGTGTTACTCATTCAACAACTGTCTCTATCATTAGTTACCTTAATCCCAGAACCAGTGTTAGTGCTTCATGCAGACCTGAGGTTAGTAAAAGACTAAAACTTTTAGAAGATGTAGTGGTCATTTCTCAATCAGTGTAAAATTCTTTTTAGTGTGAACAAGGGCAACAAGGAAAGTTTGCATACAATTTGGTTACAAGCTTAGTGCTCTAGTAAAAGTAAGAGGAACAAAGGGTTTTTTTGGACACTTTGTCTTACCTTCAGATAAACAGAACTGATATTTAATGATCTAAAAAGAGGGGAAATAAAATAATGAAATAATCATAAGGAGTTCAAGAAATGTCAGAACAGGAAGGCCTTGAGTTACTCATTTTCTTTTACCGATTTTCTTATTAGTAACAAAAAAATGCAGCATCCTCTTATAAAACAGGTATTTTACTGGGAAGTAAAAACTACCTTAAAACCAACTTTGTGACTAATAACATGGAAACAAATTAAGATTGCAAGGCTCAGATTTTCAGTTTAAACTTTACATTCTAAACATGTAGTGAGCCTTGAAACTTTCTTATGAGGAAGGTGCACTTAAAAATGTTTCTACCTGAACCAGCCTACATGACAGTACCAACGTTTTCAAGCAGACTTTATACAGGGGATTGTGATAAAAATACAGGGTGTGGTTGCTATATTAAAGCATCTTGCCAAATCTTAATGCCAGGTATTGGCTTATGATGCCAGAAAACAGAATGAAGATTTAAAGTCAACTTTGCCCGTGTTCTCAAGCATGTATGTTCTTTCCAATTAATGGTAACTCTTCATGATGTGCAAAGGTCTGAATTTTTAATCTTTATAAGTAAGGATACTGCATTTCAAGTTTAAGATTTTGTAAGAACTGTTTGTTACTTCTTACCCGTCTCTGAGGGCAAATGGTGATAAGGTGCTGGGCAGAAGACCTGAGCAGCAAAATCTTCAAATGTTGTAGGCTCTAGATGATGTTGAACAATTGTTTGCAGGTATCGTGCTCTCTCCTCATAACTGAGTTAGCCAAGAATTAAGGATGAATTTATATAATGCACTGTAACTGCTAAATATCATTGCCTAGTAATTCAGAATTCTTGTTTTTGTTAAATACATATCATGTATTTCAGTGTACACACGTATTTTTAATTCTTTATATGACTGTGACATTGTGTGATGCATTGACATAATATTAAGTGTAAGATACACATGATTAATGTCAACCTTATGGTTCAACTATATTGTTTTCATGTTTGATGCAGAACTTCCTGAAATTGTTTACAAATAACAACAACTTAATTACTCTCTTAAGTAACTAATTTGCCTGTATTCTGGTCACAATTAAATATAAGAACATTTCAATTTTTCAGGAGATGCAGCATGAAACATACTTTAGCATTAACAAAACAAATTACTTTGCACTTTTCCATAATAAACTACTTTCATAATCCCTAAACACACACACATTTAAGACAAATATAGAGACATTTCAGTATTGGGAAAAACACCTTCTTGATTATGTCATTAAAACAAGCAGGAATATCTGTAAAGAATCCACAGAACCCTTAAATACTGGTTAACAGGGTGTTGGCAGGGCACTGACAGTAAAATACTGTACTTATTTTTTCCTGTGTTCTCCCCCTCCAATATTACTGACAAGAGACTGGTATCTTGAAGTGTTGTTGTTTTTGAAGAACCCTCTGCACGCTTCTTGTTCCAGCAGGCCCGATTGCGCTGTTAGCACAGAGAGAGCGAGAAAAAGAGAGAATATTTCTGCTGTTCATGAAAGCAACTATGGAAATGGCTGTCAAAATGTAGAGCAGCAGGCAGCAACATACAATTATCAAGAAAAACCACCATGCTGACTTCATGTTGTATAGTTGCTGAACTGAGAAATCAGTTAACCTTTTCTCACACAACTTTCAGAGTCCTCCAGCTGGACTCAGTATATTGAACGAGGGAAACCTTCTCCAGCTATCTTACACAAACATAGAACAATCAGAAATTTTCCCTGGCATTCACGCTTGTGCCCACTTTTTTTTTTTTTTCCCATATTTTATTTGCAGATAGTGAGATAATTTTCTCCTTACATAGTTCTGTCTTCCAAAAAAAAAATACCCCAAACAAACCAGCATGCTGAGCTGGAGGAATGAATGCAAAATAGGTCTCTTTAAAATTCTGGGGTCTTATTTCAGGTCTGCTGCTCTTTTTGGGGGAATCAGGGACAGTGAGGAAACTATCCTTCTGACTCAATTTCAACACCTGTGAAATGGAGATAATACTCACATTGCACATATTTTTTAGCAATCCAAACATAAAAACTGTATTACATGTGATAAGCATTTTTAAGTACTAGTGATAGCATTTAAAATAATGATACTATTTTCAGTTATGATAAGCAACAAAATTCCCGACACCCAATGAAAGTTAGAAACAATAAACTTCATATTATCTTACAAAACTGTATTTCTACAATTACAGAACTCTTCCTACTCATTTTTTTTGCCATATTTTCTCTACAATATTTACTGTAGATTTCACAGTCTATCTAAAAATGAAAAAATATAGAGAATATATTATCTAGAAAGAAGTTTCAGTGAATAAAATTATTTCTATCATATTTCCTTAGACCATAACTCGGTTTCATAGTAAAACTGGGAAACAGTTTTCCCTCCAAAATCTGTACTCTGAATTCTTTCTGAATCCAGAGACAGCTGAACCACAGCAGAAGCCTCAGTTTGGAGAAGCTAAAATAGAAGCACTGGGACAAGAGAAAATACAAAATCTCCAATTGTAATGATTCTGAGGTTGGGGGATAAACACAGTATTGAACCTGAACAGAGGACAGTAATATAGCACAGTTTTTAAGAGGCTATGTATAAGTGGTAGAGGATGAAACTGATGGTTGAAGTCTAAACAATACTACGTATCTCACAACTTGTTGAAAAGCACTTTTTTTCATTGGGGGAGATTCACAGCTGCTGAATTTTCTGCAGTTAATAGAGTCCTTTGATTCACAGCAGTGCCCCTTGCACAAAAAATACTGGCCTTTGTGTATTACCAGAAACTAATTTTCTATTTGGCTGAAAAGGGAAAAATGGGGTTATTGCTTCTCCCTCCTACAGAGCTTTTCATTATGCCTGATGCACTCAACTTCTAAGCTCTTCTGAGAAAAAAAAAATAACTGAAGAGGCAAGAGGTAGAAAAATGAGCTTGTTAGCACATTAGAAGTGAAGTATCTTGGTGGGCCCTAGAAATTCCCAGTGGTGTGTTAACTTATCACTCTATGCATGCTGGCACTGATAGTCTCCCAATTGATCACTCTCTTTTCGCACCAAAGGTGCTGCCAGGAAGCAAAGGCTGAAGGCCCACAGGAGAGCAGGCTGCTATCAAAACAAGCTGTTTTTGAAAGTCTGCTTGAATGGGTAAAATGTTTCATGAAAAAGTAGGGTAGAGACACCTACTTGCTTTTAAAATGCTCTACTTTCAGAGGTCTCTAAAGGAAACCTTTTAGTTTATCCTGTTATATCCAAAGCTTATACACAAATAAGGCAAAATGAAGGAAAGTTACTGCTTTGAACATGACAAAGACATTCTTTTTCTCTAGTCTTGGTACAATCTCCTAATCAAATACAGAAGTCTTGCGATAGATGCTGATCAAGGACAATAATGATGTTTTTGTTACACAGTGAAAAGGATATGCTTATATTAGTCCTAGAAGTCTAATTCAAATGCACACATAGTACACCAAGAGAAAAGTAATTCAGCTATCTAGGTTACTGCTCATCCTAACAATCCACAAAACTATCTGCAGCTTGTTAAAGACATAACCCACCTTAAAAACAAAACCAACATCTGAAGCAAATGCCAAATCCAAAGCTTGCTCTACTCCACACTAAGAAATTACACACTTCCTCAGAAGAACTCTGTTTCTGTATTAGAGACTGCATAGATGAGATACTTTTATCTTCTATTCATTCATATTTTGAGAACATCCCAGTAATTTTGAAACTCCAATTCTATATGCTTTTGTGGCTAAGATAATCTAGTTCTACACCGTATTTGAATGCAACTGCCTGCAAGAGTGACCATAAACCCATGGTAGCTAATTTCTACATCACTTCTAATAGGTTAGACATTTATTTCTTTAAAACACTGCTCTCTAGGAAAGACTTATTAACACTTACAGATTGAGTGGCACATACAAACTCAATGGCTACTAATAACAGGGCAATGCAAGCTGTATTCTTACTTTGAGCGGATGTTGCCACTGGCATCAGCAATTAAGATGAAATGGAAAGGATGCACAGACAAACCAATGGAGAAAGACTGGCACAGAGAGTGACAAAACACTTAAACAACAGTATTGTGAGCTGTTTGCTTCTGAACAAGGTGCTAACTGGAACAAAACAGAATGAATAAAAATGTACGATATACATTAATTATGCAGGCGCTCACCCAAATGTCTCAGTTAAAAACTTGCAGATGCATAACTGAAAAAAGCATAATAAAAAAATCTAATCACTTCATTATACTTTTCCAGAAGTTCTAAAAAATAGAATCAGTGCCAGAAAAATTTAGGAATCATATCTTTATAGGCCACTCAAGTTGTAGTCACTCCAGCTAATATTTCATTTACATTAGGCTCCCTTTAACTTATTCTCTAAATCCGTAATTATTTCTATTAATAATTATCTGAAAAGATCTATTACTTGAAAATACTGTACTTTCCATTATTAGACCTGTTGATTTGCACTTGGGAACAAGCACTGAAAGCCTGGCTGTCAGATCACCTACTTATGCCCAATCTTTCTGAAAAACATCATTTCATGTCTTCACCTAATAGTTCTCCATCTCTGTTGATTGTATCACTTCCAAGTTTAGATTCCTATGGCAAAATACATCTACATCTTGCAGACTCTTTATGCATAATCTAAGCTAAAACTTTTTCTAGCCGTCTATCTGAACAAATTACCTAGGCTCTTACCTCACATCTCAGTACTGTCATATCCTTTTCTCTGGCCTAAATAAATGCATTTTTAATCCTTTCATAATCTACTCAGAGCACTGCAGAATCCACTTTCTGGATATACTACTTAGATGGTGCATTCTCTCATTTACTGCCATCAGTCTGCCACTCCCTAGTGCAAATGCAGGTTACTAATTTGAACTTTATAGTCCATACCTATTCCATCCATTTTACCAAAACTACTCACCTCCAGTCAGTTAATGCAGTCACTCTCACTAATCTTGACCATTTTGGAAAGGCACTTTTGTACTTTCTTCTATGTGGCTTATGTGTAGCATCAGGCTTATATGTAGCATCAGGTTTCCACAAGTGTCCACAAACAATTCCACCCCCCCCCCCCCCCATCTCCCACAACTCTCCCTTTGCTATTACATTTTCTTTCCATCCTTCTTCACACTTCTCAGTTTTACAGCTGACTAAAATGCAATACAATAAGTCTATCTAGCATTTTTTAGTTAAGGAGTGGATGCATGATTACTGCTACAGTCATTGATGGAATACCAATCCTAAAACGACATAAACCTGAAGCTGGAAAAAAATGAAGAAAAAGTTTAAACATGGAATAAGATTTCCAAGACTTCATTTAAGGATATAGCACTTCACAACTATGTAATCTACCTATTACCAGAACAACTAAGTCTTAGATTCTCAAATGGGCTGGAGAAGAAATTCTACTGCCTGCTCCAAAAACCATTTGATAACAAATATTTCCCAAGCACGGACTGGAAAGCTCCTATCCAGGGACTCTCCTCTCCCAAGAAAGTACCATAATGATTAGACTATGTAGATGGGCAGGTGTGTTTCCTGTGATTAAGAAGAAATCTTATTTTATGAAACAAACAAAAATTTCAGTAGTGTCAAAATAAGCCACTTTTATGAAAACTTTATTCATAAATCTTCCCTCCTCGTACTTGTGTATTTATATATATAGGCAGTATACATGTGCAGTATACCATGATATAACTGTATACTGGTATGTAGATGCTTTGGTTCCAGAGCTAGAAAAAAAAAGAGAGTTTTAATGAGTGCCTTGAAATACCTTGTACGAAAAAGCTAGAACACATATTTCCAAATAGAAAGATGGATTTTTTTCAGGTTAAATTACAAACTCCTCTCAGAAATACATGTACAGCTGCATCCCTGGCAGTTCCAACTGTTAGCAAAATCATCTAAGAAGTCAATATATATTGATATGATTGTGGAGAGTATGACTTCGTTTGCCAGGCATTTGGAAAATAATTTAAGACAAGCAGAAGCTGAACTGCTGCTCCATCCTTACTCGGAAAATGAAAATTCTATGCCCAGAGATACTTTCTTGTAGGATAAATGGACACTTGCAAGAGGTTTTTAATTGCATATATACACAATTTACATAAAAGAAATTAGCAATATTTTAAGAAAATCCATATAAGAAAGAAACTCTCTTTTTTATTACATTTTCCCCCTCAGCAAATTTAGAAACACACATAATTTTTTACAGGAAAAACCCCCAAATCTGTAGTATGGTCAACCTACAAAAATGCTCCTAGGATATTATGTACCAAAGTAAAAAAGAAACAGTGAAGCACAGTGAAAAGCATATGTTGGTAGGAGATTTTAAGTTTTTTGCTCTCTGGCCTGAAAAGGTGTGCAAACCCCACAGAATTAATTGCTACAGTTTGAGATACTTAAAATGATGAAAGAATGTATTTTATTTGGCACATTT